ATTGTTAGCCAGGCACGAGTGAAAGGACAATATAATAAAAATAATAAATATATATAAATTTTTATTGTTATGAGATTTAAGCTATTTCGTCTAAACATTTATGTTTTTGTGTTATAATCTGAGTTCATTCTAGAATGAAAGAGGCATAATTTATGTTTATTTCGTACTTTTTTATGGTGGTTGCAAGATTGTTCAAATCTACTGAACCCATACAGTGATTAACTACTGAAAATAACAGATAAAATATAAAGTTTTTGTATACGAAATTTCAAAATTTTCTGATGGATAAAAGTATTTTTAATCTTAAAATGAAAATTACTTTGTATGATATATAGGAAAGGTGTGAAAAGAAAAAAGGCATGAGAGAAACATTGCTTTACAAACCTTACGAGTTAATAAAAAAAATTGATATTTTGTGTATGAAAGCACTGTCACGTTTACTGATAATCTGCCAAATTTTTTTAACGTTTACTTACTAATTTAAAAGTTACAGCATGAAAACTATAACAAGCACAAAATTGTTACAAGGTCATCACATTGACTGACCCCATATTGAAAGAGTTGAAACTGATCAACTACAGATGTTTTATGATTATGGTGTTACTTTCAACATTAATTTTGTTTTCTAAACGAGTTGTAAAAACAGCCTATGGAATAAACTTGGATTTATATTTTAAGACTAATCATAGAAATTTTTTCCATAAATCCAAATAAAAGCACCTTTGGTCCTGAAGTTGTCTCATGATGTCGCAGAGTAAGTTTAATCTGCTGTCGACCAGACAATCTGGAGATAAGAATGGGGTCAGAGTTAGATTCGGGTTCAGTCTCTGGGGATACCTTTTCGTTACTAAGTTCTGAATGAGAAGGAGGCATCTCAGGTGAACTGGGGATATTTGTAGCACCTTCAGAGGACTAAAATAAGTCAAAATTTCATATCATTTTAATCAAAATATCAAACAGATAAATAATGTATTACACACTTACAGACCTTGCCAAGATATTCAATAAACTGAGAAATGAAACCTTACATATGTGAAAAGATGTAGAAAATTATTAATAAATTAATACAATCAATCATTTGATGAGCCTACAAATCTCCCATTTCCAAAGTACAGAAGTTTTCAAGGATTAAGTGACCGTGATAAACAGTCAAAAAAGTTAAAACTGAGGTATATACACAAAGATATACATTTGAAGAAAATGTTACACTATCATGCATACGTTTTAGCATGTATACCAGATAATAAATAATGAAATGTATATGAATTATGCAAATAAAATGGTATTTCATACATTCTTTAAATCAGTTATGTTGTACAGGTCCTCTAACCAATTTTTAGTAGAATACAAAACTTTAGCAGAGATTCTTTTGTGTTTATTTTCTTATTGATAGAAAAAAAAATTTATAGTGAAAACTATAGTATGTGCTGCCTCATAAGAATGTAAAGTAACAGATATATCTGGGTTCTTCATATATGTAAACATACATTATTTTCTAAAACTGGACTAACCTTACATTCTGGAGAAGATCTGTTTGATGTGGACATAGAGCGAGCATAAGTCCGTGACTTGGAAGGGAATTCATCTGTGAAGATACTGGAGCCTTCCAGATAAAACCTCTTGATTGAATAAGCTGCTGGTTCATATACATTCCTTTGAGAAAAACTATCTGGAGAAGTACTTTCTTCTACTCCAGCCTCATCAAAGTAGTCAATCCTAGTAACACAACAAAAAATTACTGGTCTAATATTAGCAGTTTTCTCAATACCAAGCAAAATCCTTTGTGATAAACAAGTAATATGTCAATTCTTGACTCTATAATCAACCTTAATAATACTGAGTGTCAGTGCAGTTAGTTAAGTGTTATATTTTTTGTGTGATGACACTATATAAAATATTCTGGTATGAAAGAAGTGTTAATACATCAAAGTTTTCTTGTGATATTCCTGTGTTGAACAAGGAAACATTTATGTTAATAAAAGATTCAAACTTCTTGTGTGTTTTGAAAATGTTTAACCAAAAGACAACTGGTAGAGGAACTACACATATAGAGCTCACAAAAGCATGTCAAGTCTGAGGCACTTTCATTAACACAAGTTTCTTTGCTGAGCTATATTATTGCTTCCTCCTTGTCCTTATTATTGATACTGAAGTACTATAAAAAACAGCAACTTGACCATGTGATCAGACCTAGTTAGTCTACCTGTGTGTGTGATACTTTTAGTTCTGTTAAACAAAGTTCTATTTAACAGTAAGTCAAGACAATTCATTATGGTTTAATCAAATATGAAAAAATTAAAGGAAATGGTTATTCATGCTTACAGTACAATTAACCCTTTCTCAACTGGCGGGGGTCATTGGCATTCCTTGATTTATTTTCCCCACTCACAGTGAAAATACTTAACTACATTGTATGAATCTTAGTAAAAAATAAGTATCTAGTGTTGACTTAAAATATAACATAATTTGATTTACACGTATGTTTTCTATCGTTTATTATGTTGTGAAATTCCAAAATTTTGATGAGAGACAATGTTTTGAAGAAAGCATTAAAAATACTTGCTTTCATATTAGAATTTCATATTTTTATTGTCCACCATAAAGTTCATTTCATATATACAATCAGTTTTTAACCTTACTGATATTCATTAATATATTTCTTTTGATACTTTATTTTGCCAGTTGTAGTAGTCACCATTTCCAGATATAAGTCATGATAAATACAGCAAAACTCACAAAGGTTTACTGGTGAAACTACAACATAATCTGTCAGTTCAGGCTAAGTAAAATTATTTTTGATAACTATATTCTTGGTTGAAAAAATTTACTAATAATATATATATATACACACACACACACATACATATATAGATATATACATACACACAGGGTGTTAGAAAAGTTATTACACAGCCAGGTCAGAAAACATTACAAAGTCAACAGAAACCAAATTAATTATTGTCTGTTTCAGATAAAGACATCAGAAATTAATCTACTTTCTAAATAAAACAATTGTGTAATAATTTTTTGCCATCCTGTATATCAAGAAATAACCGAGATAAATAAAACATACTTTTTCACATGAACTTCAAGAGCTACCCCTGCTTTGCTTTCTTGTGGAACATGTTCAAGTCGTATCACCGTGTCTACAAATTGGACTTTGATCCGACAGAGGACTGAAGTAAAAAAGAATAAAAAAAGTTGTTCTACAGTAAACAAAATATTTGCTGGCAACAAGATGTTTCATACAACTGAAGCAGAACTTAAAATAGAAAATGAAGTATTTTTGATACCAATTTGATTCTTTGTATCCTACTAATTCCATGCATGCTTTGTTACTTCTTGAGAATTACTGTTAGTAATTTACAGTGTGTGTGATCAAGTAAAAAACAAACTAATCTTTTAAAAGACTGAAATGAATGAACATTAAAACAAATCATGCATTAAAAAACACATTTAACTACAATTCTAAATACATTTTTCACTTAAGATAATCATAAAAGTTAATATTTTCTATTTATGTCCTCAAGAACTCGGGAGATACCAGTAGTAATATATACTAGCAGAGACCTGCAAAACATTTCCGGCCAAATCAGT